AAAGAAAATTGGTAGAAAAAAAAAAGAATAGCCTAATAATAACTTTTGGTTTTCATTTAACTCAATGTACTTCCGGGTCAGTTCGGCGACAGAGAAACCACAACAATGGAGCAGTTCATCGATTTTTACTTTGAGCTTGGCCTAAAATATAAATATATAATATCAGTGCTTGGCAATAGGCACGGGTTTCACATAAGTGAAAGACACCTCAAGAGAATACTCATTTTTCACTAACTTCATTTTTTTAAGATGTAGTGCTACCAAAATCTCTCAACACATCAATGTTGTTGTTACAGTATAACACTTATTTTGAATAAATATGCTTTTAAATATTTTTCAGGCTTTTTTATCTCAAGCTATTTTAAATTAAAAAAAACAATGCAACCAAATATTCCGCACATCAAGGGTGTCCTGCTTCTCATACTACACCAATAGTTTTGTGGAAATGTTACTTTGTATACTTTTTATGAAAGTTTATGTTTAACTATTTTTCAATAGTGCCAATGTTTTACAGTGTGGTTGCATTGTTTTTTCTCTGAGGGCCCATACAGAAAGATATACGCAGGGCGGGGCCACTAGAGGTGAGGTATATTGCCTTATCAGTTAATTTATTAGTTAGCCAAATCAAATGCAGTGGCAAATCATTCAGATGTAGGTAAATTATGCTTGATACTTGAAAATCATAGCTCTCCATAGGGTTTCATTTATTTTGTTGGCATCTCATTCCTTAAAACAGAAGCTTCGGATTGCTTATAATAAGAGGAAATGTTATGTAAATAAGTTATTGAGCTTTTTTCTTATCAACTTAGATTTGTTAGAAAATGTGGGTTTATTAACACGTATATACATATATATTTAAGAAGTACAATATATGACATGCACAAGTTTAATTTGTGGGCCATATTTCATTATATTTTTTTAATTAGCTGAGGGCCGATTCAAAATGGCCCGCGGGCCACATTTGGATACATTAAAGGTGGGGTAGGTAATTTTGGAGAAACCAGCTCCAGTGCGCTAGAATTTGAAAATACACAGCCGGAAAAAATCTGCTACTTCCTTAAGAGCCCCTCCTCCAACACACACGAACGTGCACATGACCAATGAGGGCACGAGATAAGTTTGTGCACAGATGGAAGGCTGACAGGCAGGTAGGCCATCCAGTTATTTTAGCCGGGCCGGCTAAAATGATTGGTTGTACTTTTTACAGTACTACGGGTTCCACAGATGAATTTTTGTATGGATTTTTTGTCAAAGCACTTAAGATATTCTTTAAGTAAGTAAGTAAAACTTTATTTATATAGCACCCTTCTCAACACGGATGTACAAAGTGCTTTACAGTACAGTACACAGGACACAATTCAAAGTACAACTATAAAATGTAGAATAAAAGGCATAAAACAGCAGCAGGTAATACATAGGATAAAACATACGACAACACACCAATAAAAAAGACAGCCACTAACTCACCTCCTCCGACGACCAAAAGGCCTGTCGGAACAGGTGTGTCTTTAACTGCCCCTTAAAAATCTCTATTGAGGCCGAGGTTTTTATTATCTGGGGGAGTTTGTTCCAAAGCCTTGGGGCCACCACCTCAAAGGCACGGTCACCCTTAGTCTTTAGCCTGGTTCGGGGCACCCTTAGGAGGCCTTGCTCAGAGGACCTCAGGGCCCGGGTTGTGATGTGTGGGTGGATAAGGTCATTGATGTAGGCTGGGGCTTGGCCATGGACAGCTCTGTGAAGACCAATACTTGGAATTGGGTTCTGAGATGGACAGGGAGCCAGTGCAGGGCAGAAAGAATCGGAGTGATGTGGCATGTTTTTTTGGACCGAGTCAGTAATCTGGCTGCAGCATTTTGGACCTGTTGTAACCGGTGTATTGATGTTTTGTTGAGGCAGGAGAACAGAGCATTACAATAATCAAGCCGGGATGAAATAAAGGCATGGATAGCCATCTCCATTTCTGCGTTGGATAGAACCCCCCTGAGCTTGGCAATGTTCCTGAGATGGAAAAAACAGGTACGGGTCAGAAGTTGTATGTGTTTGTCTAGTAGCATTGACTGATCGAAGGTAACACCAAGGTTTTTTATGTTTGCCCTTATGTTACCACTGAATGAACCCAGGTGGCTTGCTACCTTAGAGGCGATGTTATCAGCCGCCAAGATCAAGACTTCCGTTTTTGATGCATTAAGCTGTAGGAAGTTGCTTGACATCCACTCCTCAATTGCAGACAGACATGTGATGAGGGTGTTTACTTTTTCCATTTTGACAGGTTTGAAGGAGAAGTATATCTGGATATCATCTTCGTAACAGTGATACGAGACACCTTCAAATTAGCTAATTAAGTGGCCCAATGGCAGCATGTACAGGGCAAAAAGAAGGGGGGCTAAAACAGAACCCTGGGGCAGGCCGCAGGATAGGGGAGTGCTACTGTATGTGATGAGAACCGGCCCACCGCCACAGAGAAACTTCTCCCACTGAGGTACGAGGCAAACCACTGGAGGGCAGACCCTGAGATGCCTACCCACTCCCTGAGTCTATCTAGCATGATGGCGTGGTCCACTGTGTCAAACGCTGCACTCAGGTCCAACAACACCAGAACCACGCAATCACCTGCATCCGATGCCATCATGTGGTCATTGGAGACCCTGAGGAGAGCTGATTCTGTGGAGTGGTGTTTTCTGAAACCTGATTGGAATTTGTCATGGATTTTATTGTCATTCAGAAATGTATCGAGTTGATTAGCAACAACTTTTTCTAAAACCTTTGACACAAATGGGAGCTTTGAGATGGGCCTGTAATTATTTGGGAGGGAGGGATCTAGATTGTTTTTTTTGAGAAGGGGCTGAACAACCGCCTGCTTAAAAAATGATGGGACGGAGCCAGAGACAATGGAGATGTTTATAATGTGGAGCAGGGGTGGAGCGACACATGAAAAAACTTCTTTTAGCATGGACGTTGGTAAAGCATCCAGAGGGCTTGAGGAAGATTTCATAGTGCTCACTACAGAGGTCAGGTCGGCTATGGTGATGCAGGAGAAATTACTCAACGTGGCCTGCCTAACTGGACAGATAGGGAGGGGGGAGTGGGAGGGGGTGATGCTCGACCTCACATCAGCTACCTTGTTTATAAAAAAGGTGAGAAAACGGTCGCAGTCGTCGTTTGAATAAATAGGAACTGAGGGGGTGGACGGGTTTACAATGGTATTTATGGTTTTAAATAGTACTCTGGGGTTGTGCTTACTAGAGGAGATGAGATTAGAAAAATAGGTAGCCCGGGCATTTTTGACCAAATTGTTGTAATCACAGTAAAGGTCCTTCAGATGGAGACGGTGTACCTGGAGATTTGTGGTATCGGGATGTTAAGAGCATTCCATGCAATATAACAAAAAGTGTATCTCGAGCCTGTTTCTCAAACTTACCTACCCCACCTTTAAGAGTTAAAATCTTTATTTTATTTATATTAAATGAAGAGGGATTGTATGGTAGGTTTTGCTCAAGTGTTATTTCAAACTTTTGAAAACAGCTGATACGTTTTGTGCATAAAACCACAGAGATTTAACTGTCTGCTTTCAGGTAACCAAACCTCATTCATTCTCTAAGCCCCTCCCTACTGTTACAATAGCACCTCGCCTGGTCTCACTGTCACTCACTCTGCAGACTTTTGTGCTCACTTACTGTGACCCAGGACAATCAGAAGTAAAAGTAAATGGCTTTTCACTAGTAAATATTTGATCAAACCTGGATATCTATTAAGCCATAACAGGAGAAGATGGTTGAATCATTTACACATCCTCGTACATGTGTTAGTAAAAACAACAAAAAACTGCCTATCAGAAAACAATTTATCAGAAGTCCAGTAATACACAATGCCAAAAAGAGGCATGCTGATCTCTGTGCAAACTGTTTGTAGGTCAATTAATTGGTGCATAATTAAAATGGAAATATCTTATCAGGAGTAAAATGAGATTTCAAAGTCCATGATAGTGTGTGACTGTAAATATGCTCAAATATATATCGTTTTTTATATAGGAGCAGATCATTACAGGCTGTAGATCATTAGCTTACTTGTTGTTCAAAGTCTGTCTAGTGGCAGGCTGCAGTCAGGGTGAAGACGTTAGTGCTTCATGCAAGATTGGCTGTATTCAAATAAGGTCTCTACCTAAGTACATGGACACCGAATGGTATTCTGTCAGACTAATGCAAAATAAGAAAGCACTACCAACAAATATATTATGCATTTTCAATCAATCAATCAATCAATGTTTATTTATATAGCCCAATATCACAAATGTTACATTTGTCTCAGTGGACTTCACAGTGTGTACAGAATATCAGTATGACAATACGACACCCTCTGTCCTTAGACCCTCACATCGTACAAGGAAAAACTTCCGGAGAAAACCCACAGTTTAAAGGGAAAAATGGGAGAAACCTCAGGGAGAGCAACAGAGGAGGGATCCCTCTCCCAGGACGGACAGACGTGCAATAGATGCCGTGTGTACATTGAAAAGATAATACATTTGCAACATAGGTAGTCCAAATGTTTGGAAATGCATGTGTGTATAATAGGAAGATGAATCCACGAGGATTTTGGTTTTAGAATTTTTATTTATAATCATTTCAACACTGTCTGTAAATGAGGTTGTTGCGATAGAAACAAAACAATATGATATTTTTAAAATGTAAAAAAATGTTAACATCATATATTGATATAATGTTTAAAATACACAAAATATGTTGGCAGATGTCGGATTTTTTGGTTTGTAAGTTTACGATTTCACAGTACATGAGTGTTTTGGATTAGTTTTTTATGGTAACTCTTTATACCTACCTCCATTCATATTTTGAGTGTAATTCATATGCCAAACAAGAGGTAAGGAAAAGATAAACAAAGTTAAAGATCAATTTGACTGGTAGCATTTTTTTTATCCAACTTTTACTAGCCCTTCAAAAATATACCTAAACTTGTCTGAATAAATTAGCTATTTCAATAACTAGGCAAATTAAGTAACAACATGCAATGCAGACTTAAGAAACATGACTGTTTTGAGGACACGTCCAGTGAACTACAGCAACACAATGTCAGACGTACAGAGGAATGCCACAGATCCCATCTGTGATGTGAACACTGCACAGCATTCTGACAATCTGCAGGGAATTCACTGGATAGGGTTGACTGTTCAAGGTCAGACACGTATGCTGTGCATTGTTTTAATCTCTTTATTATATGCAACCATTGTGAGTATGTACATTGAGTTCAAATTCTGTACAAAATGTACACTAGATGGAGAAGCAGCACAATGGTGTTATTGTGGAGAGACACTCAGGACTGACCGGATGCTGTGGAGCACAAACAAAACAGGAATTAGAGGACTATCCATTGTTGGTTCTTCATCTGTGTAAATGGTTAGTGAATCCTGAATAGTGGAGAGAATGTAGAGGAAATCTACCATTTGCCTTGCTTCATCAGTTCAATGGCATCATTGACCTGGTCCAAAGTCATGTTGTGGGTGATGAACTCATCCACCTTCACCTTCTTGTCCAGGTAGCCTTTAACCATCTGAGGCACGCCATCCTTACTCTTAAATCCTGAGCCGCAGAGAACCAACACATTATCAAATAAGCGTAAATAGTTATTTTTAAAATACTGGTTGCATGATTGCAGAGAAAAATCCTACAGCCTTTTGGTTACTGTCACTTCAGAGGGAACGTAGTAGCAGCAGTAGCTGTCAACAGATAGGCAATATATTCCACAAGCGGCACAGCTCTGAAAAAAATTATTAACAGCATAGAATACACTCATTAGTTAGTAAGAAGTTAGTAGTCATTTTTGACAGACAAGGTGTTCACCTCCAAACAGAGAGCCCTTCCATTTGCGTCCAGCGATGAGCTGAAGGGGTCGGGTAGCAACGTCGTACAAGTCTGTCCAGCCAACCAGAACGCTGACACCCCAACCTCTCACACAAGACTCCAAGGCACTGCGCTAGATGAAGAAGCAGCACAAAGTCAGTAGACTTGTTACCCCAGGGTTACAAACCTGTAGAGTGCTTTAGGATATGTGTTTTTTCGTAGTTACTTACCATGACTCCAACATTGCCGACACATTCCAGGGAGAAGTCCACTCCTCCGTCAGTCATCTCAGACAGAACTTGGCTGATGGGTTTACTGTGATCCTTGGGGTTTACGAAGTCGGTCGCCCCGAACAACTTGGCCTTCTCAGCCTTCTCTGGATTGATGTCAACAGCGATGATCCTCTTGGCTCCTGCAGCCTTGCAGCCCATGACTGCAGCCAACCCCACGGCTCCCAGGCCGAACACAGCACATGTAGAGCCTGGATCCACCTAAATTAACACAGATAACCACATGGGTCTATAGGTTGGACTTCCTAAATACTATGTTGTCAAAGGCAGGTAATATGTTTTAATTATCAGATGTCTGACATTTAACAGAGTGATGGGACACATCTTAGACTAGAAATCTAGGTGACGTCATGGAGACTGAGTCCATATACAAAGAACGATTGTAAAGCTCAAAGTTGGTGGCGTTCGCCATCTTGGCAGTGAATAAATCGAAGAACTGTAGGCCAATCTAAAAATGGGCATTCACACTGAAGTTAATGTCGGCCCTAGTTGCCTCCAACCCGGGGTTCAATTCATAACTGTGGGGGAAACTTCTGAAGCAATTGGAGTCAGGACTCAAAGAGAGACACGATGGAGAGCCGGAGCTTTGAAGACAAACACTAACGGTTTATTTGGAGCTTCGGCCGGAGAATTCACAAGACATGTCACGGGCCACGGTTTGACCACACGGTTGAGATGCCACAATCAATTCTGAAGAACTCTACCCCAGACCCATGTATTTAGCTAGTTCAGAGAGAATAATCAACATTGTGCAGAACAAGATAGAACTATAACACCTCTATCAGCTGATGCCAACAGGCAAGAACAGGGAGACAAAACACTGAGAGCACAACAGCCAAGGTTGCAGGTGCCTGAGCTCAGTCAGGACAGAATGAACTGATAAACTGGGTCAAAGTTATGGGCCTTGGGAAATATTTCCCCAACAATAACAACAGGTATTATCCTTCAACAACACAAGTTGAACTCTCCACAACAGTCAAAATACACACCTTAGCGGTATTAACTGCTGCTCCATATCCTGTAGAGATTCCACAGCCAAGGAGACAGACTTTGTCCAGAGGGGCAGCAGTGTCGATCTTAGCCACAGCCATCTGGTTAACCACAGTGTACTCAGAGAAAGTGCTGGTCCCCATAAACTGCAGCACCTTCTTCCCCTTACAGGTAAACCTGGAGTCTGCTAATACCTTCACATCATCACCACCATCCCTGAATAGAGAATTTATTTAAATGCAAATAAAACTTCTGACTTTGCACTTATCCTGTTAAAAAATGCAATGAATGTGTGTTAACATGAGCAGAGTCACAAAAAAAGGAACAAAAACCCTAATCAATTGTTCTGTGTCATCATGAAAACTATTAAAGTCTCTCTACTGACAACATGAGCACTTTGACATCGGAGATACATGCATACAATGTGATTCCAAAATACTGTAGGTCCATAACATAATTAACACTTCCTATGAATAGGAAATAAGAAGAAAACTCTCACCATCCTTTCTCACACTGGTTGGTATTAGGATTCTTACAGAAGCGACATTCTCTACACTGAGGGATGATCAGAGGAATAACCTTGTCTCCTAAAATTCGAACACAATGTTTCCGTGTCAAAGGAATTCAAGCGGAATACAGGGCACACATACACTTTGGTGTACTCATTGCTGAAATTGATTTCACTTAGTCTGACAGGAAAATAAATATATAATAATGAATAATTATTAGCTGTTAAATTAAGGTTCTTGTGGTTTTAAGATTAAACTGACCCGGTTGGAATTCAGTGACTCCAGGGCCAACACTTTCTATGATGCCGGCTCCCTCATGGCCGAGAACTGCTGGAAAGCCGCCTTCATCCATACCCTCATATAGATGATACAGGTCAGTGTGGCATATCCCGGTGGCCACAATCTGCAAAGAAGACCAAACGACCACACAATCAAAACAACGATGGGTATTTCATTTGAAATAGAAAAACCTCTTTATCTACGGAACTTGGTGGGGTCTCTCCAACCGAGAGAAAAAGTGTTAGGAGTAAAAATATCTGTCTTTTTATATGATTCAATCTAGTGAAGTTGCTGGTGCTTCAGCCAACAGAATATTCCTCCACTCACACTTCCCTTATCAGTCATTAGTGAACAAACGGGGAAAATAAACAATTATATAGCACATTTTATAAAGACACAAAGTATATTAAGTCATTAGAAAAAGCTTTTTGTAACAGTTTACAGAATCAATTGATAACAGAGTGTGGGGAGCCATTTCCAGAGGAATGGGACACAGCTGCAAATGTGAATCAACCTTTGTATTTGCAAGCGGGGGCTGTGTATGAATACCGGACCTTGGTCAAACGATCGGAGTGGCCTAGATGAAGGAAGAAGTGAACTATGTAGGGCCTTGTAAATTGTAAACAGTATATTGGAGTCTGTTTTGTATTTTATTAGAATCCAGTGATCGGATGAGAGGATCAGTGTGATGTGGGATCTAGGATGTGAGGTTATAAGCCTGGCTGCAGCGGAAATTTGGCTGAGAACGGCGAAGAAGTGCACTGCATAGTCTAGGTGTGAAAAAAAGTGGGTATAAACAAGTAACTCTAGATCTCTGGTTGACCGCTGAACTGACAAAGCAGGTTGCCATTAGATTACATGCATAGGGAAAGAAAAAGGTTGGACCAAGGACTAAACCCTGTGGAACACCTCAGAGAATGCAGACGAGAACACAGGCTTGGCTACGGCATCCTCAAACTTCCCGTTTGACAGATTTTCTGACTGGGATTACACTTTGAGGCAGTATAGAAGGATGCTGACCTGCCTGAAACATGCAGCTCAAGCCTCAATCATTCAGCACAATATCATGCATTGTAGTGGCAAGACCCCTTTACAGGGTTTCAACTAAGCTGGCAACAGGGGATGTCATTGTCCACTAACTCAGGGAGGTAACATTATAATGTAATTAGCTTCAACTGATTAAATCTGTGACAGCTTTCATTTTGGCTGCAGAAAATGTGCGGTCACTGGTGATTTATTAAATGTCTGCTAATGTCTAGTTCTAACTAAAATCAAGGGTTAGGTGAACAGTACTTGAGATGAGCCATTCTATATAACCAGAATACTGCACATCAATAGGAAGACTTTAAAATAATGATGTCACTGCTTATTTATGGTGGGTGAAGTCCTTGTTATTTTTCAGTAACATAGCATCCAAAGCAACATCCATTCACTTACCCTGGCTGATTCACTGCTTACCTGTGTATTTTCCTTTCTAAGTCTTAAAAGGGGACGTCTCTCACCTTGATGCGGACCTCGTTGGCCTCGGGTGGGGCTACTTCAATCTCCTCCATCACCAAAGGCTTGTTGGGCTCCCAGGCCACTGCTGCCTTGCACTTGATGACCTGCAGCCCAGTGACACCAGCATGACATCTCACATTACTGGGTGCTGCCACAATTAAAAATGTACTAAGATAGGTTTCTGGAAAAGGTGCTACCGAATTACCGCAAACCTGTCAAGCGCTGCATTTGACATAAGCATTCAATGAAATGTCACTGTCTTCTGTAATACTAATTCAAGCTTACCAAGAGGCACCAAATTGATTTATCGGCCAACATGCAAATATAATAATAATAATAATTAGAATAAAGCTTTATTTGTATAGCACTTTTCATACATATGATGCAGATCAAAGTGTATAAACGAAATGCCACCCAAAACCAAATAAACTGAAACAAGAACTTCAATTTATGTCAAACATTAAAAGCTATTAACACACATGCAGTATATGTAAATGATATATAAGATTCCAAGGACTAAACTGGTGAAATATGTAAGAGAATAATAAAATAATATGATAATAATAATAGGCATGTGGCGCAGTGGCCTAGTGCGTTGGTGTTCGGATCAGGGGAGCACAGGTTCAAACCCCACTGCAGTCAGCATGTCGTTGTGTCCCTGGCCAAGACACTTCACCCCGAATTGCCCACAGTATTGAATATGTAAGTCGCTTTGAATAAAAGGGTCTAACATGTAACATGTAATGTAATAATCGAAAAGTTCACAACAGATAACACACTCAGTAAAAGTAAGAAAGACAAAATTAGACAACATTATTAAAAACAATAAAACTATCAAACTATCAAATAAATGAACAAAATAATATTAAAAATGATAGGAAGATGAATTAAAACAATTGAAACAGGATGTTGTTAATTAAAAGCTAAACTATGTGGTTTCAAAGTTTTGCCTGAGTTATATTATTAGTAATCCTCATAATGAAAGGAGTTTCATATGCTTCCTGCATAATAATTATTAATAATGTACGGAAGAAAAATTGGAGCAGGATCACATTTATCTATTTCAGTACAGCTGCTCCTGAAAAGAGAGTTTAAAGTCCACAAAAGTCACCTTGCAAAGTATTACATTTAATAAATCATTCATAAATGAAGGGATTTGACTTTAAGTGTCTTTGGCTTCTTTATTAAATTCCACAGTGGAACTTAATTGAATTGTTAGGTTTTAACCATGACCATGTTGACTTTCTGTCCCCTGATTTTTGCCAATATCCACAGTTTCACAGAAATGTTTGGATAGTTTCCAACTGTGGGCTAAGTCAAACAAGGACATGCAATATTTAACTTTGGCAGAGGAGGGAAACATACACGATATTCCAAGTTAGTTTGAGTTAAATATACATACATGTGCATAGAAAATTACATCAACACTGAACACCCACATTATACAATTAAAATCAATACAAATTCCCATAATGTTCATGTAAAATATATAAATGTGAAGTACTTACTATACTTCAAACTTTTCTCTGAAAAACCTATTTAAACTGCACAACCTACCTTACCGGCTGTGGCCATTTTTGCAGAAAAGCTTGGACTGAAAACTGCAGGAGTTGAGAAAGAAACACTACAAGAATGGTCAGTAAGAAGGAGTGATATCTCTCATAGGCTCCGCCCTCTACTGGACTCTATGGGTACTCCCCTCGATTCTATCATGCAAGCATTCATCATCCACTGAGACTTTCTAGACGTAGCCAGCCCTGGGGCGGGCCTACCTGAATGCGCGTGCATCTCACTGCATAAAAGGAGGCCACGCCTCCTTACTGTCATCCCTTTCTCTTCAGCAAGGCAGTAAACAACTGAGTGAAGAGAGACGGTTAGAGAAAAACATTAAAACGAAGGAAATGGACTCACCATTGGAGCGCCCCTGTCCTTCGTGTCCGGCCGTCATAGAAGGCGACGACCCCCACTGTCGGTGCATCGAGTGCCTGGGGTCCGACCATGCGGCGGCCAACCTGGGCCCGCTTGCAGTCTGCAGCGCCTGCCAGCTGATTCCTCGCCCCGGCCACCATCAACGGCTGGCGCAGTTCGAGGGTTGCTACGTCTCGCTGGTGGAGGACCCAGAGCTCGACGTGGTGGAGATGGAGGACCTCGAGGAGTGAGTGCCCTTCGTGTTCGCCATTCCAGCGGACCGGGCGGGTCCGTGCGTCGGGTAGAGGGACGACGATGGCGACACCTCGTCGTCTGATATTTCCAGCGACCGCCAGGAAGGCCAACAGCACAGGTCTGCGCGAGAGGACTTCCCGGCAGTGATGACTATTGCGGCGGAGCGTGCAGGCTTGCCGCTCCCCTCACCGCTGCCACCGAGGCCGGTGAGCCGCCTGCGTCGGCCTTTGTTTCACATCTGGCGGTGTGTGGAGGCCACGTGGCAGCAGCCACTGAGAACAAAGGCTCCGGTGGCTACATGGGCAACGGTTTGCAGTTTTTAACAACCTTTGTTTGTATTCTTATAATAATGTAACACCATTGCCTGTGATCTGTTCATTACACATTGATATGGTCTGTATACATATTGCATGTATACTGTGCATCATTTGATACATAATCCTATTATCTGAATTGTATTGTGTGTATGAATATTGTGTCAAGATCCCTAAAAAGGAATTACCCAATTACCCTCTGTTGCTTATGGATTACTTCAATACCATATATGCGAAAAAAGACAAGAGAAAATAAATGTCAATAATATGATTTTTATTCAATCTCAAGTAGTGATTTGATTATAGTTTTTTGGGCTGCAGGTCATTACATGATTTGTGTGTACATTTAGTGAAAGCAACATAGTTTTCTTATTGTGGAGAGACACTCAGGACTGTCCGGATGCTGTGGAGCGAAAAAAACAAAATTAGAGGTAAATCCTGAAGGATTGCAAAAGTACAGAAATAAGTGTAAACCTACCATTTGCCTTGCTTCATCAGTTCAATGGCATCATTGACCTGGGCCAGGGTCATGTTGTGGGTGATGAACTCATCCAGCTTCACCTTCTTGTCCAGGTAGCCTTTGACCATCTGAGGCACGCCATCCTTACTCTTAAATCCTGAGCCATAGAGAACAAACACATTTGGAAGCACATTTGATCTTGTCTCAATAGTAATAATGGCTGAACGATTGCGTTATCAAGTATGAAGCCATATGAGAACTATCACAGCACAGGTAGTGGAGATTAAATGAGGGGATTTAATTTCCAGTAATTCTACCGGCTAATAACAGCCCATACAAACAAGAAAAGCCTTGGTTACCTGTCAACAAGAAAATGATTCAGGCCTTACCAATGGTAATTTGACTCACTGGCTCACATTACTTTATTACTATTAAGACACACCCTCTAGAGATGAACAACCAATCAAAAATCAATGTGATAGTGACAGTAGTGTCAATAGTTAGTCGGGATGGTCATATTTGATGGACAGGCGTCTGACCTCCAAACAGAGAACCCTTCCATGTGCGTCCAGCGATGAGCTGAATGGGTCGGGCAGCAACGTCGTACAAGTCTGTCCAGCCAACCAGAACGCTGACACCCCAACCTTTCACACAAGACTCCAAAGCATTGCGCTAGAACAAGAAACACAGATTATGATATTGTAAACCTAGTCATATTAGCACTGGTAGAGCCCTCTACTGGAATCTATTGGCTAAACCAGGGGTGGGGAACCTCCGGCCCCCGGGCCGTATACGGCCCGCGAGACCATTTGGTACGGCCCTCAAGGTAATTTATAAACACACGCAAAAAAGAAAAATGTGTAAGAAATCTAGACCGCAAAAAAATTAAACAAGCGAGTGCCTGTTTTTCCTGGCCAAGGTCAGGGTCCTTGAACACAACACGAGCCTAACGTGTCATCACGTGGTATACAGTATGTCTCGTCTGACAGGGGTGCAAATCTGACGGAGAGCACCAGAACGGCTCCGGGCCGGGACTTCACAAATTGCAGTACCCATAAGGAGCCGTACACATGCCGCATGTCTTTAGTTGTTAGCCCAGTGGCGATCTGTTCATCTGTCATACTGATCATACAGTCAATAACTTTGTTGTTATTAGCATCTGGTTAGCTAGCTATGCTGATTGATTGATTGATTGAAAAGTTTATTAACAGCTTGTATATTGGGTACAGTACAGTACAGCTCAAAACATACAATTGTTAAGGGGATGCAGACCAGAGAAAGACTTTCGTCTTGTTTACATCAGGGTCCCCCATTTCCAATTCATCATGTCATTTAAGACATATAAGACATATTTGACATACAGATGGCTTATTTACAATTTACATACAGGTGGTTTTTTACATACAGATTGCTTATTTACAATTTTCATTTTAGATTTCGTTCTAATACATCCTAACCGGACATTTAAGACATACCAAGTCTACAGATATACAGTTAGTAACAGAGTCTAAAATGCGAGTATATACATAGATGGGGGGGGGAAGCTGTCCATTGAACGACAGGTTGAGATTTGTACCATTACCGGGGCCAGTTTTGCAATGCTCTCCCCCGAAGGTGCTCTTTAAGAGAGCTAACGAATATAAGAAGCTTTTTCTACTACCAGTGAGGTAAAGGCACATCTTTATATGATCATTATAGTTATAACAAAAATAAGAGAATAAAGTAAACAGGTATAAAATACTATATGACAGTAAAAAAAAGTTGTTATTAACAGTGTTGGGACTAACACGTTACAAAGTAACGCGTTACTGTAACGCCGTAATTTTTGGCAGTAACTAGTAGGCTACTCTAACGCATTGCTTTTTAAATTCAGTAACTCAGTTACCGTTACTACATGGTGCGTTACTCCGTTACTGCGTTAGTTTTTTTATATAGTCTACAGCCAGGCGAACAGAGATGAGAACTGTAGGCTACTTAAGTACAGTACTTGAGTAAATGTACTTTAATACTTCCTGCGTCACATGCGGAGACGGGCTGTGGACGTGTTTGTGTTGTTTACTAACAAGACTATCGAATGGCGGCGGCGGAGCCCAAGTCTAGTTTCTCCACCTGGAGATATTCTCACTATTTCACTTTTGTCGAGCACAAAGAAAATAAAGTTTCTGTTAAATGTAAGTTGTGCCCTCCTGGCGGGTCAAAGAGCCTATCTACTGCCCAAACCAGTAATTCAAATCTCTTAAAACATCTGCAAAAACAACATGCGACATGGGACGAAGCTAGTAACTAAGACCGGCACAGACCCAGACTCAGCCGACGCCACTCCACCTCCACCTAAGCAACAGCGGTTGGATTTTAACCAAGGGACTGCTAGCCAGGGAAAAGTCGATAAAGCCATTGCACGGTATGTTGTAGAACACATGCAGGCTATTGCTACAGTGGAGTCACCCGCTTTCAGGGAGCTAGTTAGCATGATACCATGTCCGGGCGGCACACGGCATATGGGACGGAACACTTTTTCCAACTACCTGGAGAAAGAATATACAAAAATGGAAAGCCAGCTAATATCGATGCAATCCAGATTGCATATAATGCATGTCAAGTTGATCAACAGATTGTATTATTCTCCAATGTAATAACAGTACTGAAATGAAGGCTATAAGGGCATTAATGGGAGCCCTTTTTTTAAGTAACTAAAAAGTTACTTTTTACAGTAACGCATTACTTTTTGGTGTAAGTAATCAGTTGCAATGAAGTAACTAGTAATGGTAACTAGTTACTGGTTTTCAGTAACTAGCACAACACTGGTTATTAATAAACAAGAATACAGTTTGAAAGGGGAGTGATTTGTAAAATATCCATAAAGAAAAATAAATCTGCTTACAGTTCTGTTTCATCTGGGTGTTGAGAGATGTATCCATAGAGCTCCTAATGTTTCTCTCAAAGTGCACCAGATTGATGCTTTTAACTTCAACATTTAAAAAATAAATCTTCCCGGGGAAGCATGCCCCTGGACCCCCCTAGAGGAGGTTAGGTCCCCCCCAACTGAAATCATGTGCACATGGATAGGAAACTAAATACATTTACACACATCTTGTGTGTCTATAAGCGAGTCATGGTAAGATATCTGGATTAAGAGGTTGCTTTTTCTTTGCACAGCATGAAAGAAAGGCCAAATTAATGAATTTTAGCATTTTTAAGCAGAGGTCAATAATTTGAATGGCCCTCGGAGGATGTTGAAAAAATTGAAATGGCCCTTGAGAGGAAAAAGGTTCCCCACCCCTGGGCTAAACTCTTCAGCAAGCAGTGAAAGACAAAAAAGCTTCGTTATAGCTCACACAGGACTGGCACACCAGTGGACTGTATCCCAATGATTGAAAGTCCTGTCCAGGTAGTTTGTTTCTAAACTCGGTTGAGCCATGGCCTAACCTTGTAAATGTCTAAAAAACAAGTTGTAAACACTCTTCACTGTGGCAGCTTGTATGGCATCACTGATTATATGAGTGGGTGTGTGAATGGGTAAAAGTTGTCATGGTGGTCGAAAGACTAGAAAGGCACAATATAAAAGCAAGTCCAGTTACCATTGTGGGGAAGAGACATTCACCACTTGGCATTATCTCAGGAATGGCTCAAGTTGGCCACTAACTGATCTATCTTACACTCTAATGGTGGCATCAACCTGCATTGGGGAGGGGATTTAGCCTGCTCTTCCGGCACCAGCATTTGGGTTAGGGAACCCTAACCACTTGACCCTGAACTGGGGGATGGTACAATTTTTGGCCACCATCAACCATCTTTTTCTGCATATAACAGCATGACCGAACACTGCTCCTGTCACCCTCTTTCCAAAAAAGGAGGGATGAAACAAGGCAAGGGCTAAAGCCTCTTTCTTGGCCATGGCATGAACCATCATATCATGGTTTGATGACTGCATCTACCAGGGTCATGTGAAGCTGTTAAGTAACTGCGAGAAACGGGTGTTGCGTATGTTGATGAACAGATCCCCTTCCTCTTCCTAATCCCAAGCAAGTTTGCTTCACCACCTTCAGGGAAGCGCTCAGCAGGCTTTGCAGTCCAGTGTCTTCTGAACATTGAAAAAAGCTCGGCAGTAGTTAGAAAACTTTAATATAACAAGCTTTTGTCAATGAATGTACATATATTTGATGTGCCTCACCATGACTCCAACATTCCCGACACATTCCAGGGAGAAGTCCACTCCTCCGTCAGTCATCTCAAACAGAACTTGGCTGATGGGTTTACTGTGATCCTTGGGGTTCACAAAGTCGGTCGCCCCGAACACCTTGGCCTTCTCAGCCTTCTCTGGATTGATGTCAACAGCGATGATCCTCTTGGCTCCTGCAGCCTTGCATCCCATAACTGCAGCCAAACCCACGGCTCCCAGGCCGAACACAGCACATGTAGAGCCTGGTTCCACCTAAATGTACCAGACTTTGTCAACACTGTTTTACTGATTTATTTCTTAAAACCGTATAAATGGGCATCATTGATTACATTGAGGTGTACCCAGGTGACACAGCAGAGAAGACAGCTAGTTGCTAGCAACATTATACGGCACCCATCTGTCATTCAAAGTAGCCGCCGCCCTCATAATGCCCATGGACAAATGTCCTGAACAGGGAAATTAGCTATAGATACAGTAACTATACACATTTTTTGTACCAGGTTGTAAGCATGTTTATTTCTCCTGTAAATGTAGGCATGTTAACATCAGGGGCAAAGAGACTTTTGGTAGCAATTCGACGAGATTCAGTTTTTGGTACTTATGTATTCGCTTCTCTGCTCAGCCCCAGAGAATTCTTCTTAGATTTGCCCCCAACAATCAAAATACATACCTTAGCAGTATTAACTGCTGCTCCATATCCTGTAGATATTCCACAGCCAAGGAGACAGACTTTGTCCAGAGGGGCAGCAGGGTCGATCTTAGCCACAGCCATCTGGTTAACCACAGTGTACTCAGAGAAAGTGCTGGTCCCCATAAACTGCAGCACCTTCTTGCCCTTGCAGGTAAACCTGGAGTCTTCGACTGACATCACATCATAACGATCAGCAGCCCTGAATAGAGAATTTCTTAAAATGAAAATACAACCTGAGACTAAATGTTTTCATGGAACCTGTTCTATCAGTGTGGAACAAAACGTTTTTTCACATGAGCAAAGTGACCGATAGTATAAAAACCAAAGACCCAAACGGTGTCATCTGCACACAACAACTAAAGACGCGTTACTGACATAGTGACCAATAAGCCATATGTAGATACATACTGCATGCAATGTTAATATTCCTGAAATGGGTCTGCAACCTTATGACTACCTCCTGAATTTATAAAGTAAAGACATAAGAAGATAGAGATGAGCTCACCATCCTTTCTCACACTGGTTGGTTTTGGGACTCTTACAGAAGCGACATTCTCTGCACTGGGAGATGAACAGAGGAATGACCTTGTCTCCTGTAATTCAAAAACAATTGGTAGTCCAAAAATATGCCTTAGTGTTGATGATAACATTTCTGCAAAAACTTCCAATGGAGAAAAAAACACAAGCTGGTGGACAAATTAAGGTTGTTGAGGTTGTTCGCTTTAACTGACCTGTTTTAAATTCAGTGACTCCAGGCCCGACACTCTCTACGATGCCGGCTCCCTCATGGCCGAGGACTGCTGGGAAGCCATCTTTATGCATACTCTCAAACAGATGGTACAGGTCGGTGTGGCACACACCTGTTGCCACAATCTGGCCAGAGACAATTAAAAAAATGTGCTTTCCAAAACCAACAGTGATATGAAATGAATTACATTGTGTGTTTATCTGAACCAACAACATTAACATGTCTGGCTATCTTAACTGAAATAGAAACCAATTAAGTTTAGCTTCTATTTCAGTTAAGCTAGTCAAGTAGCTTTACGTTAGCTAATAACATTTTGCAGGGTTACAACGTTTTGTAAAATTGAACTAGCTGTTAACCTAATGTTACATTACTAATGCTCATGTCGAACATAATATCATGTTGAAACCTTAAATGTTTCATAAATGGAATTAATGGTGTGTTTATCTGTGCCAGACTAAGATTGGTTCAAAATACCTCATGAAAGAACAACAAAGAAGTGAGGATACCCAGCCCGGAGGAAGCCGGGGGGTCCTTCTAGAGCCAGGCCCAGAAGGAGGACTCGTCAGCGAGCGTCTGGTGGCTGGGCTTGCCGGGCACAGCCCGAAAAGGCAATGTGGGCAACACCTCCGCCTCTCCATCCCGCGGGCCCACCACCTACGGGAAACACCGATGGTGTCGGGTGCGCTGCCAGAAGGGTGGCAGTGAAAGCAGAGGGTTTCGACGGACCAGACCCGGGCGACAGAAGCTGGCTTTGGGGACGTGGAACGTCACCTCTCTGGGGGGGAAGGAGCCGGAGCTTGTGCGGGAGGTGGAGTGTTACCAGCTGGATCTGGTTGGGCTCACCTTTACGCACAGCGTCGGCTCTGGAACCTTACTTCTGGATAGGGGTTGGACTATATTCTTCTCCGGAGTTGCTCAAGGTGTGAGGCGCCGGGCGGGTGTGGGGATACTCACAAATCCCCGGTTGGGTGCTTCGTTGTTGGAGTTTACCCCAGTGGACGAGAGGGTCGCCTCCCTACGCCTGCGGGTTATGGGGGGGGGGGAACTCTGACTGTTGTATGTGCTTATGCACCAAACAGCAGTTCAGAGTATACGGCCTTCTTGGAGTCCCTGGAAAGAGTCTTGTATGGGGCTCCTGAAGGGGACTCTTTAATCTTGCTGGGAGACTTCAACGCACATGTGGGCAATGATGGAGACACTTGGAGGGGCGTGATTGGGAGGAACGGCCCCCCTGATCTGAACCGGAGTGGTGGTTTGTTACTGGACTTCTGTGCTAGTCATGGATTGGCCATAACAAACACCATGTTCGAACATAAGGATGCTCATAAGTGTACGTGGTACCAGAGCACCCTAGGCAGAAGGTCCATGATCGATTTCGTTATCGTATCATTGGACCTGAGGCCGTATGGTTTGGACACTCGGGTAAAGAGAGGGGCGGAGTTGTCAACTGATCACCATCTGGTGGTGAGTTGGGTCGAGTGGCGGGGGAAGCCTCTGGATAGACCTGGTAAGCCCAAACGTGTAGTTCGGGTGAACTGGGAACGTCTGGAGGAGGCCCAAGTTCAGGAGGCCTTCAACTCACACCTCCGGCGGAGCTTTTCGGACATTCCTGTGGAGGTTGGGGACATTGAACCATAGTCGTCGGTGTTCAAAACCTCTATTGCCGAAGCCGCGGCGGGGAGCTGTGGTCTCAAGGTCTTAGGTGCCTCAAGGGGCGGTAACCCTCGAACCTCCTGGTGGACACCGGTGGTCAGGGAAGCCATCCGACTGAAGAAGGAGGCCTTCAGGGATTTGCTATCCCGGGGGACTCCCGAGGCAGTTGCAAGGTACCGACAGACCCGAAGGGCAGCAGCCTCAGCTGTGGCCGAGGCAAAGCAGCGGGTGTGGGAGAAGTTCGGAGAAGACATGGAAAAGGACTTTCGGGCGGCACCAAAGTTGTTCTGGAAAACTGTCCGACACCTCAGGAGGGGGAAGCAGGGAACCATCCAAACTGTGTACAGTAAGGATGGGACGTTGTTGACCTCAACTGATGGAGTGTTAGGGCATTGGAAGGAACACTTTGAGGAACTCCTGAACCCGACAACTCCGCTGGAAGTCGGAAACAATACCGAAGGAGTGGCAGACCGGGGTGGTGGTTCCCCTTTTCAAAAAGGGGGATCAGAGGGTGTGTGCCAATTACAGAGGCATCACACTACTCAGCCTCCCCGGGAAAGTTTACTCTAAGGTACTCGAAAGGAGGGTCAGGCCGATTGTCGAACCTCAGATTGAGGAGGAACAATGCGGATTCCGTCCTGGTCGTGTAACGATGGATCAGCTGTTTACTCTCGCAAGGATCCTGGAGGAGGCCTGGGAGTACGCTTATCCGGTCTACATGTGTTTTGTAGACTTGGAGAAGGCGTATGACCGAGTTCCCAGGGAGTTACTGTGGGAGGTGCTGCGGGAGTATGGGGTGAGGGGTCTCTACTCAGGGCCATCCAATCTCTGTACTCCCAAAGCGGGAGCTGTGTCCGGGTCCTCGGCTGTAAGTCGGACCCATTTCCGGTGAGGGTTGGCCTCCGCCAGGGCTGCACTTTGTCACCAATCCTGTTTGTAATATACATGGATCGGATTTTGAGGCGTAGTCGTGGGGGAGGGGGTCTGCAGTTTGGTGGACTAAGGATTGCACCACTGCTTTTAGCAGATGATGTGGTTATAATGGCTTCATCGGTCTGCGATCTTCAGCACTCACTGAATCTGTTCGCAACCGAGCAGGGCTGGACTGGCCATCTGGCATACCGGGCATTTTCCCGGTGGGCCGACGTGCCTTTTGGGCCTTTTTTTTTTTCTGAAGTCCCGACCCATAAGACGGGTAGATTGGGTAGATTGGCCCTCTGTTTAAATGTTTTTAGTAATTGACACTGGGCCGGCCCAATCAAATCTTTAATCACCTCCCCCTTTGGGCCGCTCGGTGTGCATCATTATATCACGCCCCCAGGAGGTGAGCCGGCCGTTGAAGCCAAACTGCCTTTTTTTCGAGAAAAAATAGTTAGAAATGGAAAAGGCGAAGACGAAGGCCAAGCGAAAAGGGGGAGCAGAAAAATTGCGGGCAAGAAAAAAGCAGGCCCTTCGTGCTGATGCTGCCGCTTGTGTCAAAATAACCGACATATTTAGTACAGGTGCAGGTCCATCTTCAGCACCCGTGGCCGATATTGGTGGTGAGGAAGATGATGAGAGGAAGAGAGATCAGCGTGAGTGGGGAGAGGGAGGAGAACTCGCGGGTAGCAGATATGGCCTTTTTTGGGCCGTTTTCTCATTGGGATACCCAGGCCGTGGGACACCATATTAGGTTAAGGGACAACCAGGGCAGTTTGGTGTCCACTACCAGTGTACGACTCCTGAAGTGGGATGCTGCCATGGTGGGTGCGTGTATCGGACCCTCGGTGGCGCTATAGTCATGGGGGGGGGGGGGGGGGGGGGGGGGGGGGGGCAAGGGGGTGTCCACACATCAATATGGTGTCCTACTTCCCGTGGGGGGGTGTCCACAGATCAATATGGCATCCCACTTCCCATGTAGGGGTGTCCACAGATCAATATGGCATCCCACTTACCATGTAGGGGTGTCCATACATCAATATGGTGTCCCACTTCCCGTGGGGGGGGTGTCCATCCATCAATATGGCATCCCACTTCCCATGTATGGGTGTCCACAGATCAATATGGCATCCCACTTCCCATGTAGGGGTGTCCACAGATCAATATGGGATCCCACTTCCGGGTGTCCATACATCAATATGAGGTCCCACTTCCCATGAATGGTATACACCAATCAATATGGGGTCCCACTTCCGGGTGTCCATACATCAATATGGGGTCCCACTTCCCATGAGGTTGAGATCTGTTTAAAGGTCTTTGGAAAGGGCTAAAGAGATGATTTTTCACAGGATGCCTCTAAATAGGGCCCAGATCAGGAATCTGAAGTATGGAAACTTAAATCCACCCAGAATTTTTTTTTCAATAAAATGTCAAATTACTCACATAATCCTGACTGCCGCGAAGAGTCTGAGAGGCTAGTGCTGAAGAAGAGAGGTCAAATTGAAAAAAATTCAAAACATGTGCTTGGCGCTCCGAGCCTTTGAGAGTGTGTTGTTTAACTTGTGTGGAACCCGCTTGCAAAATATGGGGACCCTGCGACCTCCGAGAAGGTCAAAACTGAGGTCAGAGGTCACGTTGTAATGCCGTATGGTGCCCTTTACGGCACAAAGGAAGGTCCGACCGCTTTGAGCTTGCTCTCATTAGAAACGGCTCGGAGAGAAGATGCAGATTGATGCCTCTGCTGCTCCTAATGTCAAAGGTTACGGCTTGAAATGTAACAAAGCTCCAAAGGTCAAAGGTCACCTGTGGATGGTATACGCTACTGTTTTTGCCACTTAGGAAGGTCCGACCGCTAACATTCGTTAGCCTACAAGCTAGTAAGCTGGCTTTTTTTAGGTTTTCCCTGGCAAGTTAAAATATAGCTTAATGGGACTCTGATTGACTCTCATTGAAAGAATGTCATTATTTTGTTAACCACCATTCATGAACAATTACTGTCAGCTGGCAGCTTGTTTTGTTTAGTTTATTTACTTATTTGGTTATAAGGGCAACAGTGGTATTTTGGGACCTGAAACAAATGTTTATAGTCAGCTTTTTGTAGTAGTTTTGATTGACAATATATGAATAATATAGAAATAAATATAAAATGGAGGCACACATGTAGTTTTGACCATTAACTGTGTGGTATTGTTATGTCAATGCCTATTTGTATGGACCTCTATCAGGGAATCCATTAATTCTGTATCATTGTGTTGAGCCAGGTAGCATCCCCAGAGGAGGAGAGTGTCAGCGAGAGTGAGGAGAGCAAAGAGCAGGAGGACATAGATTACTTTGCCCGCCCCGAGCCATCTATGTTACAGATGTTTTTAGAACAGCACCCACAACAACATACCAGAAATACAGTTGTGCAGAAGGTATTCACCTGTAAAGATGACACCAGTAGAAAGTGGCTTACATATTGCAAGGGACGTCATATGTTGTTTTGTTTTGTATGTCTGGCATTTGGGAAGAGGACTGACACTGGAACATTTATAACTGGAATGTCAGATTGGAG